GGTGTCAGACATTGCGCCGCGGGTGTGCGCGTCCGGGTGCAACTCCCGGGTGCTAGCAGGAAGAAATCCTGCCGTGGTGGGGTTAGGGAAGGAAGGCTAGCCCTCGGATGGCGAGGTGCCCGGGGCGAGTGAAAAACGAGCCGACTTCACGGCTCCCCGTACGGTTTTGAAGCTTTCGGAACTGGAAGTCCCTCCGAAGGCTGAGATGGCATAAGTAAATAGGTACTTGACCTTCCCTCCCCCCAGCAGGTACTGAATATTTGCATGCCAGTGTATCTGTGCAAAAAAAGTAATTCTGCCCTACACCAATTTCTTCTATTCAGGGTAACTACTTGTGGGGTGTGTGTATTTGTGAGGGGGCTTGAACACATTGTTTTTAAGTCTGGTTTTTCATATCTAATAAATCTTTCATATGTAATTTTTTTTTAAATTATGGTGGAAGACAGGAAATGTGGGAAATGGGCCCAATATGCTACCAACATCCACCTGCCCAAATCACTTTCAAATCGACCTGCCAGTTTCAGCAGGCTCCACAGCAGCATGTCACACAGTTAAGCTTCCTATAAGTAACAGTTTGGTAGGGGGGGAAAACGTAGTCCAGATTTATTCTTTTGTTGGGGAAAAAGGCTCGAGTATGAACGCAGTGGCTATAAGCTGGTTTTAGCCAACTGTTGGACTGTCAATATATTTGGAGCAAGGAAGCAAATCTTTGTCCATCGTAGCAAGCATCTGTGTCTGTAAAGGGAAGCGTTTGGTTATGAGTATCCAGTGTGCACATGATTTATTTTTTTGGGGCACTAACTGTGGTCTGATTTTATGGACTGAATTCTCGTTAGGACCACATCTTTCAATTTAGTGTTATCCAAAATAGACCCATTTTGTGTACCTCCTTGCTCTCTAAAGCAACTCAAAGCACAGTAGTGAGGGTGGGTAGAAGGATCGCTTCAAAAACATGCTCTTAATCTGAGTTTACGCACTGATTTAGAGACACCAGCCTCTTGCCACTTTTGAGGAATTTTTTTGGGAAAGAGGTTTGGGGAGCTTTGAAGCAAAAGGAACTGGATGTATTGCTGTTGTCAGCGAGAGTATTTGGGGATGTCAAGATGGGAACAGGAGGTGAGGTTACTGTGGTGTAATGGCATGAATGAGGCCAATATGCAGAAAGAGGATGCGTCTTTTTAGGCAATAAGGCTTCACTAAATTTGTTCTCCTCTCCTCAGTGAAGTGCCATTCAAGTTTTCATGTGGTCACTTGGTGCAAAATTTATTCCTTTTTTTAATTTATTTACTTACTTATTTTTAAAGAGGCATAATCATATACCCAAATAGAAATACCTTTCTTTGTGTTATTTGTCTAAACTCCCTTTAACAGAGAGCAATATGCGCTTCTAAAGCATTTTTCAATGTGTTCTCAAGTAGATTAAAAGATGAGACAAATTCACCCTGGCTTCCAGTGTCATGTGTAAAGGTATAAAGCTTTAGCAATGCATCATTTTAATTTTGTTTTTTGAAGTAGGCTGTTCGCTGTGTGATGTTGACAGTAGTTCTCAATCGCTTTTGCTAATCTATTCAGAGGATGTTTTTCAAATTTAAATTTTGTCTTGCACTGTAAATCACTTGCCCTGTGAAAAATGCCCAAGATTTAGCAAAATCTTATCTCATTCATGGCCTACAAATTATTGGAAATTGCAGATCTTTGACTTTTGATTTTTTTGAGTTTTCAAATATTTTATGTTATGCAAGCGACATTTGAACGACTCCATTGTATAGGCTCTTGATTAGTCAGTGGTGGTATTTTATGAAGTGATGGGATGGATTCTGCATCCCTAAAATTAAATGGGAGCAGAATTGAGCTCATCATGATTTGAGACTGCTCAGGTAAATAAGAGGAGTAACTTGGGTTTATGCGGAAATGTTAATTTGGTGGTGTTTAACTGAAGCTGTATAACCCTGCTGGCAGAGGAGTACCCAGTTTCCATTTGATTCCTTGGAAGTCTTACATTGATTAATAGCTTACTCAAAGCGGAAAACAGATGAGCTGCATGTAGAAAACTTAGTCTGCTGTGGTTGTGTGTGAAACTAGACATCCTGAATTTAGTTCAGAGGGATCAGTCATTGAAAAAGTCAGTTAAAGAAACTGCTTTCTAGCCTGTGCTGGCCTTATAGCTGCTGTAAGAGCTCCAGGAGCTCAAAATATTTACCATTTTTTTCCCCTTTTTAAACAGGCACTACTTTGCACTGCCCACTAATCCCGGTGAGCAGTTCTTTATGTTTTCCACGCTTGCTGCTTGGCTGATCACTAAAGCAGGACATCCCTTCGAACAGCCACAAGAATATGATGACCCCAATGCAATAATATCAAATGTACTCTCAGAATTGCGATCATTTGTAAGTGTTGAACATGCTGTTCTCCCAAGTGTATTTCAAGAACGTGCATCACCTTCAGAAGTAACAGTAATGACACACTTCCTTTCCTTTCTGATTATGTTCCCAAGGACTGGACAGACTTTTCCTATCTATAAGTTTGTACTATGTTAATTAGTTAATTGGAAGTTTATGCTGTGTGTACCTACTCGCTAACTTTTTTGGCACTACAAAAATGGTCTTACAATATTATATGTGATTCCAATTAATTTTTTTCCACAATCTGTCAAATGGATTAAATTGGGCTTAGTTCTTGTAGTGCCACATATGTTGCTCATTTATAGCAGTATAATTTACAAAGATTTTATCTTGCAAGTTTACACAGTGCTTGTGATCCTGCTCCTCCAAAGTCGATCGTATAATTCATAGTGAAGGAAATGGTTTAGAATTGTGTTCATGTTTTCTTTTTTTTTTTTTTATTGTTAAGGAGTAAAAGAGTGCATGAACTGCCAGGAACTATTGGGATTTTTTTCAATATTAAAAAAAAAAACAAAACACCAAGGTCAGGAGAGTATCAACTTATGGGAAGTGTGATCTTATGAAAGATTATACTGTGGTACAGCTGTGAAGGATGTTAAGAACACTGTTCTCTAAAGGAGTTACTTGAAAAAAACCTAAGATATTTATTCTGTAGGAGAGAAATAAATAAATGTAAATTTTTTTATAAAAAAAATCTGGAACAAAGAAGGCAATGTGGAAAAGCTGATGGTTAAGTCTCAGTACCTGAGTTCCTCCGTAGCTGTTCTTGCCTTGCCAGCCTGTCATTTGTGTGCTTGACCATCTGTCTCCCTTGCAGCTTCTGACTCTTCTGCTCCCCGCAAGTATCCTCTTACCATGTGCTTTAAGATTTCTACACTGCATTGCTCCTTGAGTTGTTCAGTTTTTGCTTCTGTTGCCTGACTGGAGCTGCATAAGGGAAGGATATGAATTAACATTGATAAAATCTTCATATACAGTGGACACTTTTGTTTTAGCATAGTAAAGCTTGTTACCTCCCTGAGAGCAAACGCGATTGATGGGTAGCCGTTCATAAACAGTATATCTCTTTATTTTAGGGAAGGCCTGTGGATTTTCCTCCCTCAAAATTAAAGGCAGGTTACGGAGAGCAAGCATGCTATGTTCTTGATTGTTTAGCTGAAGAAGCCTTGAAATACACTGGCTTTAGCTGGAAAAGGTATAGTGCACTTTTAAGCATCTTCCCTTATACATTGTTTTCCAGCGAGCAAATGTAAGTTGTAATTTTAAAGATAAAACATAGTAATTACCAAAAATGTTTTACTTAATGTTTCATGAGATGTAAAATTCAACTAGGCTTGAAGCAGTGGGATAAATAAATTCCTATTGCAATTTCACACAATTTAGTCTATTACCAGCAAGGATGAGCGTGGGCCATTGATATTCTTAGCTAATTAACAAAGATTTGACTAATGACCTTTTTTTGGTCATTTTCCTATGTATAACTGCTTGTTAAACTGACAGTTGAGTTGAAACATATTAGTATTCTTTTAGGTCCCATCAGTGAATCTTGACCTCTTCAGTTGGAGGTATGCACAGTATGTGATGATGTTACAAGTAGGCTACAATAACTTTGAGTATTTAATCTGAAGGAAATCTTAGGAGAAACTAGATGACAGATAATTTCAAGTACATGAAAATTTCTTTAAAAGTGCTCTTTATTTCATTCCTTCCCTCAGATGGGTTTTGAAATGGATATAGTGGAGTAATTTCTACTTTGGAAATATTTTACTGTTACCTTTATTCAGTACACAAATGCCACCGTAAGCTGAAAATGAGTCTCTGGTGACTTGCACTTAAATTTTAAGAGGTTAGACCAAAAGACAAAATTGCTCAAAATTTGCTCCCCAGATGTCTTTGCAGTATGAATGTACTGTACTGCCTGGCATAATAACTAACCCTCAATTTTAAGACAGTCAAAGATAAACAAAGACTTTTAAGACTGAGCATTAATTTTATTTAAGTGTGTGAGCCACTGTCTAGTCATATTCCACATCATCCATACTTCTCATGAAATGTTACGTTTACTTAGGAGCAGTTTACAGAGCTATTTCCAATTGCTGTGTTTAAAAGCTCTTCTGTTCTTTGAACTAATTTCAGGCCAGCATATCCAACAGAAGAGCTAGAAGAAGAAGAAATAACAGAAGATGATGCAGAATTAATACTTAATAAACTGGAAGAGGATGTTGTGGTAGGTTTACCTAACTGGTTTTGCTTATTATCAGTATTGGTCAGCTATGAAGAGATTTTTCTTACTGTTCATTTTATTTGGCTTTGTTTAAGAAGTCTTTTCTACTAGCTGTTCCATTGCCCTTTTTTCCTGCATCTCCTTTCCTGCATCATCAGCTTCTCTGTAGAGTTTTTTGTTTCCTTTTAGGTAAGGTTGTTAACCCTTTGGGACAGAGCTTATGTTCTTACATGCATTTATAGTTAATGTAAAGTGAAGGGGAATCTAACCATACATTAAAATTGCAGAGACAGAATTGTTTGTTTTCTTCTGATACAAGCTGTTGATGTTAAACAAAACTTCAATCCTGGTTTACGGAATTGCCTAATGTTTGGTTAAAATTTACTCAGCACGGAATTAATAGTTACTGTTGTAACTCAAGATTTCACTGCAAATAGGAAACAGTAACAGTAACTTAGGTACTTAGTTGATCTTAAGGTTTGGGAACAGGGTAGATGGAAAAGAACAACTGGAAGATGAGCATTTGTTTAAAACCACCAGCAAAGACCTAAATAAAGGTTGCAGAATTGTTGTTGTAGAGAAAGGACATGGCAGCTCATCGCTATATATTCCATGAATGAAGTGGTAATATCCAATCATCCATTCTGACTGCAAAATAAATCTGTCGTCTTTGAAATGCCTTTTACCAACAAGATGTCAATGTTTGAGGATGAACTGTTTTATTTATTCCTGCTTTTTAACTATAATAATTACAGTCAAGTTGTCAGTTCTATGAAACAGCCTATGAAATAACACCTGTAAGTTCAAATACGCTTTTAAGAGTTACTGATGGGTGTGTCACGAGCAAGTGGTAGGGCTGCTTAAAGAGTCACCACCAAAAATACCAGAAAGTGAAATGATTTTAATATAGATTCGTAAAAAGGTACAACTTAACAGAATTTGATGGCAAGGTTCACTCTATTACTTACTTAACATGAAAAGGTGTACAAAGAGAAACCAAGTTACAATTAGATTGGAATGATTTGCTTGTGGATCGAACCCAGGCTAATGTGGTTTATATGTATATTGAGAAGAGAAAGTAGGGAAAACCCTCCCGTTGAGTCACGAGGTTCAGAGTGGACCGAAATCCACCCCTAGTGCCAAAGTTGGTCAATGGTTTATGACTAAAGGGATAGGGTATCGGGGATTCTGATGTAGTGCTTTGTGTAACTTGAAAATAACAGCAGTCAAATTCACTAACACTATTGAGATAAATCACAATATCAAATCATATAAAACTTAGTAACATAATTAACCTAAAACTTACTAAGATTAATGATATTGAGACAAATCATGGTATTAAATCATAGCAACATACTCAGATCAGACACTTAAAGAGATATAAAGAAAAGAGATAAATATATACAAAGGTACCTTTAAATGCCCCCCTCGAATTTGATCAAATACATGGAATGCTTTTGCACCGCTCAATGGGTGATCAGCTGAGCTTCTGAGTTGATCGTGAACTGGAGGGTTCAGGGGCTCTGAGAGGCGTCCCTCTCAGAGGAAGGTGCTGATCATAGCCCGCTGCGGTCCAGGAGAGCTCAAAGTGTCTCACTAGGGACCACTATTCATAGGACTGGGAGATGATTGACCTTAGGCATCAGGAAATTTCCATCCTTGCCACAAATCATTTGGTGGTAATTGCTACAATTCTTGACATCCCAGTGACGCTGGTACCAATCCACCCGAATCATGGCTAAAAAAAAAGTGCTCCCAAGACGGCTGGGGGGGTTTG